AATACAAGTCTAATCTAGCATACATCATAAATCATGCTCTTTACATTAAAATCAAATCATGCTAGACAAATAGTAAGTGCACATAGCCAATACAAGGAATTAACTAGCATGCTATATTACAAAATGCACCTAACAATGCATGAAAACCAAAAATGGAGAAGCTCACATGCCTTTCTCACACCCCACTAATCCGTCTAAGTCAAAGACAAATGAGCACCAAGAAATTCGACTAAATCCTTAATCAAATTCAAGTGCTTATAAACCAATGCAATCCACCAATGAATGCACCAACAAGTTTCAGTAATTATAGATACTACTGTTTACCAAATTTACTTCTTTTTTTTTTTTTTATCACTCTATGTTATAATCTTACTATATATATATATATATATATATATATATATATATATATATATATATTTATATGTCGTGAATATGCATTAAAAAAAAATCTAAAATAATAAAATAATGATTAACTAAAATAAATTGTTATTTAAGAGAGATAAATAAAAGTTTAAACACCTTATCAATTTTCTATTTAAGGAAGAGGAAAAGTTTTTCACTAAGTAAATATGCATGTATATATTTATATGTGGGATGTGCTACTATTTTTGGAATGTGCAGTATGAATTATTATACTTTAATAAACTTTTTTATGTGAAAAAAATATATATATCAAAAAGTGTTAAGAAATTCCTTGCACTTTTAGAAAAAATATCTAAATAATAAAATAATGATTAACTAAAATAAATTACTATTAAAATAAATAAAAGTTTAAACACATTTTTAGTTTTCTATTTAAGGAAGAGGAAGAGTTTTTCACTAATTAAATATGCATGTATAGGTTTATATGTGGGATATCGTATATATGTTTGGAAACTGATAGAATTAATTTTATAAGAGTCTTCCAAGAGGCGTGAGTCTTTTATGGCAGATAAATGTGTGTACCAAATTTACTCGCTTTCTTTTTTCTTTTCTATTTTTATAATTTTTTTTTCTATCACTCTATGTTATAATCTTACAATATATATAGATATATATGTCGTGAATATGCATTTTTACAAAAAAAAATTCTAAAATAATAAAATAATGATTAACTAAAATAAATTGCTATTTAAAAGAGATAAATAAAAGTTTAAACACATTATCAGTTTTCAATTTAAGGAAGAGGAAAAGTTTTTCACCAATTAAATATGCATGTATATATTTATGTGTGGGATGTGCAACTTTTCGTGAAATTAATGACCATGTGCGGTATAAATTATTCTACTTTAATGATTTTTTTTATGTGAAGAAAAAAATATCAAAAGTGTGAAGAAATTGCTTAGAGCATCTCCAACCGTTATGTATATATATATTTGTGTAAATCTTATGTGTCATAATAGATTTATACAAAAATTTTGAATTATTTATTTTTAACTCTAGTGGTTGTTTTATACCTTTTGTGTAAAAATATATCCTCCAATAACAACCAATCAGAGTCATGTCTGGACCCCATATAATTTTTACAAGCCTACTTAATATAGGGTAGATTTACTAATGAAATGAGAAAGAGGGAGGAGAAAAGAAATATGTTGATGTGGCTGTGTAAAAATGTTGTGTAAAATATGCAATAATTTTACACATTGATGACGTAGCAGTGTATCTTAACAGACTACTAAAAAAATAAAAAATAAAAAATAAATAAATAAATATTACACATGGCAGTGTATATTTTACACTATGGATATAAATACATAGACAAACTCTGATCCAAATAAAATAAATAAGGTATGGTACTTGCCATTTAATTTTATAATAAAAGAAGCTTGACGCAATTTGTTTTTCCTTTTCATTAGGGTGTCACATATTTCCTTCTAATACATCCAACTAATTTTATATAAGGGATATTATATGTTGGCCTCACTCACATAAATTAGTGTCCAATTATCTAAGCCAATTAAAATAAGTATGACTTTGTGCTTAATAGTAATGACTACAAATGAAATATATAGGTGTTGAGAAAAAGATTAAAAGGTGTCGAGAAAAAGATTAAAAGGAGTTGAGATAAAGATTAAAGGTATTAAAAACAAGATTAAAATTTTATAATTCACTTTAATTGAGTTTGACGATAAATCATTTTTGTTTTGTTTGGGAGCACTGAATCGATATATTAGAATATTTCTTCCGATTTTCAATTGGAATCTACTAATATTGTGCTTCCAAAAACAATATTTATGTTTCTCCATCCAATTATTGGAATGATGCACGTCTGATATTTTTTTTCTGTTTTTCCTATTGGTAACACTGTATATGTTATAAAGTTTAAATTCAATCTTAAATTCAATCTTATATTTTCCTATTGGTAACACTGTGTGTGTTATAAGTTTAAATTCGTATATATATATATATATATATATATATATATATATAAATTTATACAAATGCCTTTTACCATAACTATACTTCTAATGACTCGAATCCAAGGATCCGAATTGCTAACCAGATCCTAACCCAAACCTAAGGACACACAAGGGTAATATGGTCATTTTGTGTAAGGGACATGGATAAATTTGAACTTTAGTGAATCCATTGAGGTATATTCAATTCATTTTAATCATTATATAACATTGCAAGAGGTTCTTAGGGTCATAGGCTTGGTTTCCAACAAGCACGCACTCTTGGGTTAAATGATTCTCCGACACTGTCCCACTAAAACATGAATATATTCTAGTAGGATTGGAATTTGAGAATGAGGTTGATACGATTAGAAATCTAACGAAAAATTCTTGAATTTGGGCTCAAGAATGACCCCATTTGGATTAAAAAAGAATAAGTTATGATCATTTGAAGTTACCAAATCTCCCATGCTCGAGCACTGCCCGTTTGTGCTCGAGCACAAAACTTTTTGCTTGAGCTCTAGGACCAAAAATGCAAATTACTGAGAGTTGCTCTCGGGATCTCACTCCAAATTCCCCAATGCTTGAGCACAACCCTCAGTGCTCCAGCATAACCCTGAAAAATGGTCATTTTAGCCCAAGTAAACTATTGTTTGGCTCCCATACCATCCTTAGGCCATTGGACCTTTCAATATGACTAAAAAAAAATCCCAAAATAACCATACACACATATATAAGAAATAACAACATCCACAACATCCATACATTACAATAAGCTCCATTTCAACAAAAATTGGAATTTCATTGACAACTACGCCACATACATTCTTGAAATCATCTAAAGCCTTCCACAATCATTCATTTTCAAATTAATGATAAGTTTCATAATATACATAACCAAATGAATAAATTTACATAGCCATTGCCACAGTTACAAAATAATACAAGTTTATGATAGAACTTTACAAATGTGACGACGGTTACAAAAGATAATGAAAATAAGCATCCTAACTGCGCCTAAGTACATGGAGGTGTCTCATCCATTATGTCGCATCTAGTCCCTGAAAATGTTTAAGTTAAATGGGTGAGCACCACCGTTCAGTAGAGTATGCCTAAGACATGATTCTTAAAATCAATTGAGCAAACACAAAAGGGAATAGGAGATAAGGATGAAGGATCATACTTGTAAGGAAAAACAATGAAATCATCAATAACATATAAGCAACAATGCATTGGCAAAAACCATGATCACGCACACAAATGTTCCACAACTACAACAATGCCTCCAATTGTTATGCTTATGCCAAATGCCATAATCCTCATCGAACCAATTCCCATGACCCTCAACTAGTGCGTATGCACCTCAACAATTATTCCAACCCAATCTCACAAACTACATCAAGGACCACCAATTCCAAATGGCACAAATTTACGGCTTGTCTACCACGTATAAAGAAATGATTTAATTTATTTAAGAAGGTGAGTACTATTACAGATTGTTGGAAAATCTGTTTGAACTTTAAATTACCTTTTCAAAAAACTTGCCTTAAACAATAAATCTTTTCAAAAAACTTGCCTTAAACAATATAATTTATTGTACAGCATGGATACATAACTTTTGAAATTAGGAGGAATGTGTCACCCTAGTCACTACTCACTTAGTAACAATTTTACGTTATATATATATATATATATATATATATATAGATCATAGACTCGGATCCAAATAAAATAAATAACGTATAGTACTTGCCATTTAATTTTATAATAAAAGAAGATGGAGCGTCATAGATTTGTTTTTCCTTTTCATTAGGATGTCACATATTTTTTTCTAACACATTCAACTAATTTTATATGAGTAAAGGATGGATGACAGGGATATTATATGTTTGTCTTCACTCACATAAATTAGTGTCTGACTTTTGACTCCAAATCATTATCCATATATAATTGATACAACAATCATCTTCTAGTAAATCATAATTATCCAAGCCCTTTAAAACAAGTACCGGTTCATGCTTAATAGCAGTGACTACAAAAAATAAATGAAATACATATACGAATGTTAAAAGGACATAGATATATTAGTAAATGACTCTATTTCAAATTTATTGGATAAAAATAAATTAAAAATTTTAATGACCAAATTTTTCCCACTTCGAAATTTGGATATATTCATATATACATAATTTAAGCAACTAAATACAATCTTAAATATATCCAAAATGACAACGACGGTCATAAATTTTTTTAACCTATACGAATCCAAAAGATAATGCAAAAGAAAGAAAACAAAAGTAATAAAAATATTTTTTATGCATATCATTTTTTTTAAAAAAAATAATAATAATAATATATTTTGATTTATCAACAAACTTAGACCTAAAAGCCTATTCTCTGGTAAAGCCCTATTTTCTGATAAAGCCCTATTCTCTCTTTAGCACATACATATTCACACCTAAACCCTAAACAGCAGCGCCGCCAACGTGATAAGAAGGGCTTATGCTCGGTCTTCTCAATACGCCGAGGCATTTTCATGCGTTTGATGAACCAAGTTTTCGACTTCATCACAGCATCTTGAAATTGAAGTCTCACACATTGCAGCATTTGCGAAGGTATATTTCTATTTGATTTTCTTTTGTCCTTACGCCGATGTAAATCCAATAGTTCCATTTGACTTCTTCTTCATCAATCGGCATAGCATGTTATTTTCTCTCTTTGACACACACAAATTCCGCGCCGCCAACTTGATAAAGCCCTATTGGATAAAGCCCTATTCTCTCTTCACACACACAAATTTACCTAAACCCTAGAAAATCTTTTCTTTCCGACAATCTCCGAAAATCTCGTTGCCTCTTTAATCCATTTTCTTTCCTTTCTCTTCAATTCCCTTTTTTGTTCGATTGATACAGATTTTCACATCATTCGCATTCAATTCTGGTAATTATCTTCAAATTTTGTTTATCTTCGTATTTTGCTAATTCTATGATTTCAGGGTTATATTTTAATTGATGTTTCTGTATATTATTTTATATGATGACAGAAGTGCTGTAATTACATTTAAATTGTGACTATGCTTGCATGTATTTCGAAATTTTGATGGGCTGTGTCCCTGACCGTTGAGATATGAGGCTTGAAGTTTCAAATTTATTTTGGGGCTGTGAAATTTGTTGAATTTAAGAAAAACAACTAAGAAAATTGAACAAATTTTTTTTCAAAATTTACCAATTCCAATTTCAAGTCTCTAATTTGATCATGCAACTGAACACACCCTCCACTCTTTGAATATAATGGATTTGTAATTGGTGTGAATAAAAGTAATTGAGAAAGAGTATACTACTCGATAAGACTGAAAAAACATGATGAATTGAAGTTTGCGATATTGCTTAAAACTTCCACACTGTGAATACCATTAGCATATAGAGATAAATTATTCCTTGTGGGTTCTACTACAGTCTAATATCATGTTTAGAGTCCATGGTACAGTCCGTTAAATTGTTAACACCAGATTAAACAATTTAATCCTTCCTATCCGTTAACAACGTGCAAAGTTGCTTTTTTTTAAACTGTTCATTCTATTTGGTGATAACTGTAATGCCATATATGTTTGTTTGTATGTTGAGATTTTGAAAACCCTATTTTGATATGCATGTATTTCAAATTTTTATTGGGCTGTGAATCTGTGATGGTATATATATATATATATATATATATATATATATATATATATTGATATATATATATATATATATATGTTGCCGTGTGTGTTGATGAAGCTGTGATGATGAAATATTGAGTTCGGAATTTTTGAAACAATTGTGATGGACTGTGGCACTTGATATGTTTGATATATATTTACATGTATGGCTTGATATGTTTGGAAATTTTTTTAAACAGTCGTGACTGTGCTTGCATAAGATATATTCTGTGTTCTAAAATTTGAAGGGGCTGTGTTTTGATTCATCTATGCCTTGCACTTTGAAATTTTAATAAGCTGTGATGATGATTTATAACTGATGTTCAAATTCTGTGGAAGCCTCTGTATATATGGTTCCCATTCTGAAATTTGAGAAGTACATGAGTTTCATCTTGATTATCTACCCTATATTGGTTAAATTGATGTGTATTAAGTTCCATTCTTTTCATTGAATGAAAAAAGAAAAAATTGATCTTTCTAATGTATTTAGTCTTGTTTGTGGTGCTAATTGTGCAGTAGGTGAATCATGCATTGTTGGTGACAAAATGGTGTCTGGGATTCGTTCTGGAAATCTGAACTGTGACAAGACAAAAAAGAAAAATATTAGGAAAAATTCATTTGTGGAAGTGTGAAGGAAAGAAGGCGCACCAATTGCTGTGACAAGACAAAAAAGAAAAATGTTAGGAAAAATTCATTTGTGGAAGTGTCAACTGGAAATAAGGCGCACCAATTGCAGGGTTTCCTTCAAAATGATGGTTTCACCTACCTGAAAGCAATCAAATTAAATATTGATAACACTTTGTGCGAGCTGGAAATAATTATCAGAAGTTGTCTCGATGCAAGGGCTATGAAAGCTGGTAAAGCTGACGAGGCTAAAAGGGAGGAGAAGGAAAGAGTTGCAAGGCTGCATGATAAAGGTAATCTTTACTATTCGGTAAATGAACTCAAGTTTTATTAATTTGTGTTTTAGATAAATAAGTTTTTGGCTAAAATTGAGAAAAAAAAGGATAGGATATTGGCTCCACTATGGTCATTTTTTAGTTTGCATTAAGTTTCTCAGGTGTGGAATGCTGACAGGAGCATAGGTTCCATATTGCATGAAGTGACTTTACAAGGGGAAATCAGACATTTTTCTCTTAAATCATATTTAAACTCTTAAATTTCTTGTTTACAGATAAGGGCAGAGTTGAACACCAAATCAGAGCTGATGAATCTTTTTCACAAAAGATAGCAGAAGCATGACAAATGATCATTTGTGGGAGAGAGAGAGACGCTGCCCGACTACGTCTGCAGAAGGTTTATGTTTGTCTTTTTCTTTCCTGATCTACGCCTATGAAAAGAAATTAAATGGTCTTCCCCTTTCCTCGTTTCAGTTTCAGTTGGAGAAGACTGTAGAGTTTGAGGACAATCTGCAAATTGTCCAATACTTTGCGAACCTAAGAGTATCTGAATCAAGTAAACCGTTGGAGTTGTTGGGTTTGTTTCTAAAGGAGGATGACTTCTACATGGATGAGGAGGTGGTGGATGTAGAGGAGGGAGAGATATTGGGATAAGTTTCGAACCAGAATAGCTTCCAACGCCATTCATTTTTTTCAGCGATTGGAATCCGTCCATTCTTTACAACTGTAAAAGAAAATTTTGCAAATGGAGATGTATATGTATACTGCTGCAGAAAACTGAGAAATAGCACAAGGCTAAAGCTTGCCTGAAATAGCACAAGGCTATAGCTTGCCTCTTATGTTCAGAAAGATTGCCACTGTAATTTTTTTTGGTGCTACTTTGGCAAGGTGTATTTTGACTTTTGCTTGCTTAGTTCCTCTTTGTTGAGTGGCCATGTGCCTTGTTTGTGAATTGTATAAAAATTCAACTGTAACTATTTTTATCTCAAGTTAATAAAATCATGACACTGTTTCTTCTCCTCTGATTTGAAACTTTCTTGTTTGAGGCTTGATGATATGCTAGGTTGCAATTGATGCATTGATACACTACTGCAAATAGATAAATTTTCTTGTATTTGAATTCTTTGCAATCCCTATTGATATGTCCCTCAACTGTGTTTTTTTTGGTCTCTTCTCTTTGCCTTTGTAAGTTATCTGTTGGCTGTTTGTTTTAGCAATAGTAATATAGGGTGGTTGTATAAATAATAATCTCTTATCACTCACTAAGACTCATTCACAGTTTCTTGATTCATTGTGGTGTGCAAGTAGTTTGTAGCCCATGTTACACATGAAAAATTCTACTGCCAATGATACGTGGATGTTGCAGGAATGAGGTATTAATCCCATGGAAGGTACACTTCAATTCAATACCCTTATTAGTGCCCATGGATAATAATAATAACTCAAGCTGGTAGGTATTAATGGCTATGTCGAATGCAATAATTATGGCATGCTAGTTTTATTTTGTTGTCATCGTTGCACTGATTTGGTGCTCCAAAATAACAACTTTGAAGCTGGGATCAAATTAGTACCTCCATAAAGCTCTCTTGTGTTTTGGATCATGTTCACTTTCAAATTCTACTGCAATTTGTTGTTTCCTTTTGCACCTGATTACCAAATTAATGTTAAAGTCTTCGGATATATGACGTCTTAGCAGTACCACATATACATAAAAACCAATATCATTCCATTATTATGCAACCCTAAATTGTAACAAGTTTAGATTGTATCAAGGGTTGGCAAAACCGAATTATCCCACCATAAAATTCATCAATGTAGTAAGATAGAGACTAGTATAACATTACATACAAGAGGTACCATAATACCATTTACAAGATTTAATTTATAACAGCATTATCCCACCAGCAATGTGGTACGACTTATATACAACACATATACTTTAACTCCAAACCATAATATACATCGATCACACCATTTTATTTATAACATTAAACAAGACACAATTTTATAAAATTTAACTTCAAACCTCAATATTACACCATTTTATTTGTTGAGCAAGTTCATGATCACCATCAATTTCAATTCGCCTTCGCTCTAAGAATGACTTTCCATTGAGCTTATGGGAGTAGAAATCTTTGACACACTTCTCCATCTGCACCCTTTTGAACAGTGGTGGGTTTTGTACGAGCTGTAGGTCCAACCTTTGCTTGGAAGTTGGGATTGAAAAACATAGCAATAGAGATCCTCTCTTTCAATGGATTTACTGTCACCCTGTGCTCAATGTTGCAGTAGACACCATTGCTAAAGATCTGTACATGAACACAATAAACAGAAAGAAATTGAGAAGGCAAGCAACAAAGAGGCTAACCAAAATACAATGTTAAGAAAGACACAAATACAGCTTCATCCATGAAGTGGAGACAAGGATGTTTTGCGAGATGATAAAAATTACTAGAAAAGATAAGATAAATAACATGTGAGGGGAACGTTAGGTATAACAAGATAAAATTACGAAAAGTAGACTTAGGGTGGTACGGTCTTATTCAACGTAGGTCCGATATGCAACTGTATATAAAAAGAGCAAGACTTGTGTGTTTTGAAGGTAAGTGACAAAGAGGCCAACCATATATGAAGATAATTAGTGTTGTTTCCTAAAGATATTTGGAATTCAAGTGTTTGGTGTTACCAAGTTAAATCATGGAAGTCACACCAAGGCCATATTATGATGAATATGTCTGTGGGACAATGAATAGTAGAATTTAACAACTCAAACAGTGGGAAAAGGAAAAAGGAAAATTCAAATCGAACTCAAGAATTCACCTTTTATTATTATTATTATTATTATTATTAAACAAGTCTTAGCTATTAAGACCAAGGTAAGTGAGCGTAAAAAAATTTTAAAAATTATTACAGAACTTCAAAAATTAAGCATCTGTACTTAATATACCAGCAATTAGTAACGGAGCCCAGAATGTTGAAATGAGTGATGCTGCATAAGTTAATTTTAGGAAAAGGAAATTGTGATCCTGCAAAACAAATGTCAGGCAGTGGTAGCTAGGTAAAAAATACAGTACTAGTCCAGTGTACGAGACTCCTATCATTGCAAGATTTAGGAAGAGTCAGCTGTAAGTTGTCTAACGTACTTATGGAAGGCCATTTCTGTTTTGAATCTGTGACATTGGTCACAAAAGAGCAAAATTATAAAAGGCACTTATTTATTTTAAATTGACATCCAAACCAGAAAAAGGTTTTGAAAATTTATTAGATTTAGTTTGTGATAAAGAGAATGGGGAGAGATCTAACCATATAGGTATGCAAACCTCTAGAAAGTCTCCTACATTCACCATAAAGGCACTAGGAAGGAAGTTTGTAGGGATCCAAAATCCATCTTTTCTAACTTGAAGGCATTCCACTCCATTGACTTGGAGAAGGATGGTGATGCCAGAAGCGTCTGAGTGCGGTGTAAAGCCAACAACCAGCTCTGGTTTTGGACATCGTGGATAGTAAGTCATCCTCACTGATTGCATCCCATCTTCAAACATCTCTTCTACCTCTTCCTCATCCATCTGTAGAGCCTTTGCCATCAACCCAAGAAGAGTTTTGGAAAGCTTTTGCAACTCAGAGAAGTATGATTCCAAGGTATTCCTGTAGTGATATAGATGAAATATACATACATGTAAGTATTAACGCACATAAATACATAAAATATACACATATATGTATGCATGCATACTTACATATAGTAACGCATAAATACAAATATATTATGTGTGTGTGTGTGTGAGAGAGAGAGAGCACCTAAGTGATGAAGGGATCTCTGGCAAGAGGGGTGGCTTTCTTCTATGGTTGGGGGTTATCATATAAAATCTATCAGCCCAGTCAACCTTCGGATCTTCAGAGAATAGAATGGTTTGTCCATACCTTTCAACATCACCAGGCCTCATCCTATGTTTCATTTTCTCTTCTATAGGGAGCTTGTAGAATTCTTCAATCTCATATTTCAGTTTCTCCACTAATGAAGAATCCACTCCCTGGTTCACCAGCTATAAACATATATATTCACTACTGTTAGTTTTTGTGCAGTATTTTCTTTTTATTTGTAAACATATATCTACATATATATATATATATATATATATATATATATATAAATACAAACAAACAAATGAGAAAACAAAGCTTAATTATTGTATGGTTTTAATTTGGCCAAATCTATAACTTGTATTTCTTTTAGTTTCTTTCTTTCTTATCTTTTTGCCTGATATCCAACTAGTTAATTTGCCATTTAAAGTTATGCTATGTTTTGGACCGAATCCGCGCCTTGAATTCCCAATTCCTTCTTAACTTCGTGAAAATATGCAGTTCTTGTTCATTGTTTTCTGTAATGTTGCGGGAGTAATGAATCGCCGTTTTAGATTGAGAATTGGAGGAAATTTAGGACAAAGTTTGAAATAAATTTGCTTCGATTCTCAATCTAAAACATCGATTCGTTACTCCCAAACACAACATTACAGAAAACAATGAACAAGAAATGCATATTTTCACAAAGTGAAGAAGGAATTGGGAAATTTAAGAAGAAATAGACAGCCAAGAATATAAGCTCAATGGACTAAATTCTATAGTTTCCAAGATCAACTTTCAAAGCACATCTAGGATTGGAAAGAATTTATGATGACTAAAATTTTGTGCAGGGAATGAAATTAAACCTGAAAAATGCCCCACTTTTTGCATGTTGAGTGCAACTTCTCTAGTTTATAATCTTTGGCTTCTTCCATAACCAAATGTTCCATATTGATTAAAGGAATTGTGGGCAAGGAAGTCCAAGAGAATTGAAGATTCTTGATCCAGCTGAACATAGTGGTTTGGTATGGCAAGCATGGGCTCTTTCGCAAGCTCCCGAACACTAAGTGAACTCCTAGGGTTAGGGATCACTGGTTTTCGCAAGCTTCTAAACTACAAAACTAATATTTATTTAGTAGTTTTGACACCTACTAAAATTTTTCATGCAGAGATACCCTGGAAGTTTATGCGCCTGAGTTGAAACAACTTACGATAAAGATACTCGATTTCATAGCTGAAGCTCTAAAATAAGCATCCCATATCCACATATGCTGTGCTGGCCCTACAATAAGCATCCCATATCCAGCCATACGTAATGTCCTTAGAAAGTCAAAGGAACCAAAAGATGGCATTGTAATCGTGATATATAATCAACAGAATTTACCCATTCATTAAACCCAATAACTGCATAAAAAAAGTTCAGAGAGTCATATGCAGAGTTTCTAAAGGAAGCCACTATAGAAATAAGAATTTGTTACTTAAATGTTTCAAGTGGAATTGATAGATTAACCTTTTTAGATCAGCCATGACGCATACAAAAATCAATCAAACAGCTCCAGCAACTAGCAGTAGCCCTTATCTATCCCAAATTTTTGGCCCATATATTTTTCAAATAGAATGTGTATGTGTGTTAGACAACCATATTTCTCAGAATATAAATTGTATCAAGGACTGATTAAATCCTTCAACTCAAAATTTTCCTCCATCCGATGCAAGGATCAAACTGAAAAAGTCAGTTTTTTTGCAGTTTCAAGGTGGATTAAATAACCATAGTGACAGCTTTAAGGATGTACTGCCATTATGACTTGTAGAACAAATAATAAATCTCTTTCATAATTTCCTTAGAACCAGAATTCCTTATTCATTGTAGATACCTAGGATACGCAAGTGTAAAGTGAAAGCACAAGCTAAAACATAGTTGAGAAACTCCAATATGCTCCTCAACCAAAAGTGATACTTGATATGTATATTAATGTGTTACTAGACACATACAAGTTCAAGTCCAAACATATGCAGGTAATGCTCCATGATGATTAAGACATTGATTTACAGCCTTCAGGTGCAGAAGCAAAACTATTGTGCATCAAAATTTGATTTATTTTCAGTGATGAAGAGAAAAATATAATGTTTATCCAGGAAAAATGTCCACAACCCACCCTCTTGAAGCTTGAGTTTGTGGATAACG